TTTGTCAGGGATGTAAGATGCGTTCCGGGGGAGATCGTTGTTTTCTTGTGTCTCCCCCCGTCTGATTTGCCCTTCGGACACTTTATGCAGAGCAAGCTTCCGCTAGTCCGTGTTCAGATCAGCTGAGTAACCTCGACCCAGCGCGATGGATCCGCTGGCCGGTGCATCCAAAATTCAATTTCAACGTTCATGCTGCTGTGAATGTAGCTGCCCATTTGCTATACTTGGTTCTGCATCCTTTTCCCATCGAAAGATGGTAGACAACAGAGTCAGGTTCTTGATATCAATCAAAAACGAACAGGTTGGGAGAAAATGCCGGGTGAGGGCCATATAAGAACCCTGCTTGATTCTCAGGCAGGCTAGATGGTGCTGTGGTGTGCTTCGTGCTGTGATACCGATGACACTCACCTCGCCAACGACAGCATAGCCTAACTAGGGTATTTCATTCCTCCGTATGTGTTAGTTTGCAGGGAATCACTAGGTGAATTTTTCCATTGTGAAACTCGGATGCGTTCCTCACTGTCCTAGGGACTCGATGCGAAATCGTTTGATAGGGCCTTGTCGCTTTTACTAAGCTGATATTACTTCATAATCATCATAATCATCATGATCATGATCATTATGGAGACAATGTCAGATCACTCCAGAGGTTGCCACGTCAGACCGTCTGGAGAAATCCAGCCTGGCGTCATCATCATCCATGTCATGGCCCCAAGCTGAACCGTTTTACCCGATCCATACTGTCCAAGGAAAAATGGGGGGGGCATCTCGCCTCCCTTTTTCACAAGCCGTGTGTTAGGTTTGCGTGTCCTAGTGTAGTTAATGCAAGGCCTGAAGAGGAGGGTAGAAGGGTTAGAATTGCCTGGTTAGGTTCATCAACGCCGCATCATCCGATCAGCTGAGATTCATGCATTCCATGGCTTGTACAACCGGGCACATTCTCCAAGAGGGTCAAGACAGTTGATAGCGGGGGGGCAATCTGGCTCAAGGAAGGCACACGAAACTTCTAGCCTCTTTGACAGGGGGAGTCAGAATTTCTCCTCTTTTGCCACATCAAAATCTGGTTTTTCCAAGCGAGAGAAGGATGAGGCAATCAATTGCATGATCCGGTGCATAGGCAAGAAGAGGGTGAAAAAAAGTCAATCACCGTAGCTCGGGAGCATTGGTTAGTATTGCTTGGTTTCCTTTCGCCGGCCCGTTAGCGGGAAAACGGGCTCCAAAGTTTTAACTTAACTATGACTAAAATTATTGGAAGGGATCAATCATCCGGTCCTGGTGATGAAATTTTCTCTTTGTCACACTACACATAGACTGCAGCAGGGTGAAGAAGAGAGAAATGAAAGTCGGAAAGTTTGATTGACTTGAAAACGAGCTGAAGTGATCTGAACACCCCCATGGACCATATCAATTGGACGAGGCAGCTCAACTATGAAAATGTATGTAAGACGGCTTCGTTTCGAATGAGTCGGTCTATTGGTGGCCAGTGAAAGAAGGAAGAGAGGGAAGGAGGGGAGGGGGGAGGGGTATATCGGATTGAATCCCGTGAACGACATAGTATGTGGCCAGCCTCATTGTAATAGTCTTTTGATATTGGAATGACAGGGAAAAGAAGGTGTGTGGAGCCTACTGGGCAGTTAGGATGCTGCAGCACTGTCGGCGAGATCACTTTGACCAAGAGTAGTACAACCAGCTTCTTTTCTCTCCCTTCCCACAGTTGAGTTTCAGAGAAAGCCCGAGGTGGAGCAAGAAATGCAGGGGTTATGAAGTAGAATAGGAGAACGTAAGGACATGCAGAGGGCTTGCGACACCCCCTTAGGAGAAAAGCGAGCATGGGCTAAAAAGTTAATTGATAGATCTTCAACTGAACAGAAGGGTGGTCGTTGGCCAAGGGAGTGTCCACGACATCTGGTCAACCGTGCTAAACCGGATCGCATTTACACAGCATGCAAGGGTGCTTAGGCCAAGTTGCGAATGCATGAGGCAAATGTGAAAAGGTTCTCAGACAACTCCACACCCGATGTAAAGACAGACAGAAGCCAAGCTGAGGAGAAGCAGACCGGGGGACCAGAGGAAATCCGGACAGATAGACAGACAGGCAGAGAGTGCCGTCCAAGGCCAGTGAAGGTGGGCAGCAATCATGCGAACACGACAGTTGGCCATCTCCTCAATATGCAGGATGGACGTGGTATCAAAATATCCAAAGGTGCTCTCTGCGTCGAGGCATAAATATCGCCAGCTTTCCCCCGAGAATGCGGAAGAGATATCATCAACAAAGCAGACAACTCCAGTGAGCAGCAGCAACGAGAACAACACACTTCCAATTGATAAAATCAGCACACAAAACAACAGCAAGCACCGCATCCTCCTACATCATCAATACTTCCCTCCTCAATAGTCAAGCTTTCCCTTGCCAAACAAACTGCTTTGTCAGTCAGGAACTCGATCCGCCATCGGGTCCATAGAAGCAAAACTTGAAACACCGAGAAAACAACAAGGAAGAAAAAGAGTTGGTGAGTGCGCATTGAAAGCTCCAAAGGTATAGAAGACTGATGAAGAGTGTTTCAAAGTCACCATGTGCTTCTACAGCCAGAAGAGATTCCTCTGCGGTGATTGGGCCTGGGGCAGCTTTGCTGCCAAGTGCAATCATGAATACCGAATGGGCGAAACCTGCGGCATGAAACTCGTCCACAACACCGAGAACATCCAAGCCATCTGCAAGCTTTGCGAGAAGATCCAAACCAAGCACCGCCGACGCAACACGGAGGTTGAGCGTATTAACCGGTGGCGCCGCGAAGGAAGCGTCATGAAAGCTTCCATGGAGAAATCTCAGGCCATGGTCAAGGATTTCGAACAGGAAATCAGCCAATTGGAGCATGAGAGACAATTGAAACAGAGATCCATTGGCAAGTGAGCACGACCAGGGACTTATGCGGGGGCCAAAAATCGAGTGAAGCATGGGAGAGTTGGTCCAACGTGCAAAAGAAAAAGGGGGAGGTATCAACTGCTAACGATATCATGTAATAACGCTTTCGTTTTCGTTTCTTCTGCATTCTCATTTGTTTTTCCTTTTTCTTTACTTTCCTGTGGATTTTTTTGGTTATGATTTTGCAACACCTTTTCGGGATAATGAGGATAGCATGGGCTTCGGACTAGCAATGACTGCACGGAGCAGGGGCTTTTGACTAGCTAGCTAGTTAGTGGACCAAGATTGAATGGAATCTGTTTTAGCGTTGTCACAATTGCAAGCTGAGAGTCGCCGGTTGCCAATGGATTTTCGTAAAAGCTGCATCGACAGCCGTCTCAGGGGCCCCGCGCCAGCCCTGGACAACGGGGATATTCTGGCGTTAGGCGCCCAAGGGGTGGCTTTTGTCTTTTTGTGCTTGGGACAATCTGTCGTTAACCGCCTATCATTTTCTTCCATGACCAGGGGCGTCGCGACACACAGGGCGGGCCTGCGCCGCAGCCGAGCAGCTCGCGCATGAAATTTCCATCGGCGCGAAAGACAGACTGCCCCGTCTAGCACCTCGCTTAGCCCCTTTTCCTCTGCCTGTCTGCTTCTCTTCCGCTCTTTTCCTGCGCTTTTCCTTCGTCGTTTTGTTGTTTGACGTTGAAAAAGAAAATAACGAAAAATATAAAAATAAAAAAAAGGCGGGAGAGGCCCGTGACCTCGTCTACGCTTCCCGCGCGCAGTTTTGGGCACCGCGTCTAAGCGCGCGTCTGCCTTAAGTATCATGTGATGTAAGCGCCGCTGCGTCTTTCTTGACATCAAAAGGGGGAAGCAATTACAAAAAAAAATAAAAATAAAATAACAACGACGAGCGGAGATCCTGGGTCAAAAAAATAACAGCTGAATAGACGTTCAGAGGCTTGTGGATAATGCTGTCAGGCTGGAATTGCGTCTTGGTTTGGCATCAATGGGCCAGCCGGGAGCCGTAGTTGTCAATAACTAAGCCCGGCTGCGAAGCGCTCTTTGCCTATTCGCATTTGCTACGCGCTACATGGAACACACGCCCCCTGAAATCTTCCTTTCATCCCACCCTTGCCAGCCGCCTTCAGGCCTTACACTCATGCGGTTAAGACACCCTGGGCCGCATGGAGCGGGCCAAACGGGCTCCGGGACCGTTGCGTTTTGCTTACCGCCCGCTCCCTTGTCCCCCTTTACCCACTGCTAATTGACCGTCTAGCCAACCTCCCACGTCTTTAGTCTATGGTGCTGTTTCATACGGATAGATATTCCTACAGCTTCACTGGCTGAAATCGGAACCTTTCGCACACGGGAGCTATTGTTGAATTTCCCCGAGACCCCTTTTTCATGCCGGACCCTGCAGGGTCACAGCTTCGCCGTATTTTCTCCCCATTCAGGCACCACATGTTGCTTTTGACCAGCTCTTCCGTCAATATCCTTTCCGCATCACTCCGTTATGCTAATAAGGCTCGCGAGTCCTCTCCTTTCTCTCGAGACACTTTAAAGATTTGATGCCACAAGTAAACACCCCAGTGGACAGAGTTGAGCCAACGTGTTTGGCAATGCCTGTACATGTACCTCCTACGCAAAATAGATGGGTTATTGCCAATAGATTGAGTACTTGCTAGTTAGGTAACTAATTCAATTATATATTTAGTTGCCTAAAAATGCCCCTATCTACAAGTGCGTTAAAATCAGTGGCAATATGAACATATATCGTTAGGGTGTCTCAGAATAAGGTGCCGATTGCCGTAAAATGCCTACAACTTCGTAAGATCTGCATAAACGGCTCTCTCAAACGTAGTCGTCAGCTCCTCAAACCGTGCATCTGATGCTGAAATAACTTGTGTGAAGGTCGTTGCAGCAATGCCTTCCTGGCGATCAATCCACCAAAACATGTTAGGTTTTCCGGACCACTGTACAGTGCCAGCAGACCTCCTTTCAGGGATGCCATCTACATACACTGGCCCAGCAATGGCAATCTCGATGTTTTCAGCCTCCATATCGACAGTTGAACGCAGTGATGCGCGGAGAGGGCCAGATAGCAATTCACGTAACTCATCGCCTGCAATTGCTTGTGGCTTGAACATCTCGTCCACGCTTCTCTTCTGCAATATTGGTCTGCCATCACAAAGAATCATGTGGACAAACTTGTTCCAGTCGCGTGGCGTCGACCAGAGGCCATGTCCGCCACACTCATGGGCCGCTGGAAGCTTGGTATATTCGGCGCCAGGCATGAGGTACCCGTCATCGTTGCGTTCGTAGAATTCAACACGTCGTTTTAGCATGTCAATGCGTTTGTCAGGGTGGAAGGTTGTCGAAGTCATCCCCAAGGGCTTGCAGACCTCAGCCTGCAAAAACTCCTCAAGGCTCACCCCGTTTAAACGTGCAACAAGCTCTCCAGCCCAGTCAAAACCTGATCCATACATAAAATTTGACCCTGGTTCAAACATCAAGGGAAATGTTTCCATAACTTTCTGTGGGAACAGTTAGCCATACCCTAGCTAACACATTTGATAAAGGAGGCAGATCCTTACAAAATCATTATCGAAGATACTCTCTGTTCGGCCATTTTGTTTGGCCCATCGCGCCAGATACGGGCTAGAATGATACCCACAACCACTTTGGTGAGTAAGGAGGAGTCTAAGGGTGATCGGCTTACTTCGCGTCTTAGTCGAGTACTTTCCTTTGGCATCAACACGGTCAAGAACCGGGAGAGAACATAGGTCAGGCAAAACGGAGGTAACGTCCTCGTCTAAGGATATTTGACCACGTTCTACACAGAGCATGACAGCAATTGCTGTCATCAATTTTGTCATCGAGGCCATCCAGTAGACTGAATCAAACCCTGCCCTTTCATTTGAATGTTGTGAAATTGAGCCTTCCGCGTGGGAGTACAGTTGATCACCTACAGAATTTCCCGTTAGCTTTGGTATGCAAGTTAGAGCGTCAACTTACCATCCTTCTTTATCACTGAACAGACATAGGAGTGTGCCACTGGCTTCGGTCCCGAAACTGCCTGTTTAAGGTATGTAGAAAACCTCTCTAGATGGGACCCAGAGCCTTGATGATTCTCCTCAATCTCCTGTAGTAATCCAGCTCCATTTGTGCCATTGTCTTCCGCGTGTGACTTTTCAATTGTATCAATAACGATATCTGCAGCTTCAGCGTCTTTGGCCACCGTTGATTCTTTGTGCTTCCGTGCAGTGTCATAGATAACTCCAGCTAGGTGTTTCGATGTACACATAGGGTCCAGGAGTTCAAGAAAAGACATGCCAACAGAAAATTTCTGGGACAGCCAGTGTATCATCTCGCTGCCATACATACTGTCAATGCCGTAATGTGATAGTGGGCGCATGATATCAATATCATCAGAAGCAACAAAAAGTAGCTTTGCCAGCCTCTGAGCAACCGCATCTGCCAGGATTATCATAGCCGCGTTTCGGTCCTCGGGGATATCTAACGCTTCGTCACTCATCATTTCAGCCGAAGCGGTACCTTCTCCAATTGCAGCTTTACGGGATTCTAAAATAGTGACCAACAGAGCGGAACGGCGATCCTTTTCAATCCTGGTTACCTGAACCATGCTCAGGTCATGTTTGCTGTATTCCACGCCTGTGAGAATATGCGCTTGGGTATTTCTGTCGAAATGTGGTGACTTTTCTTGTTCCTTGATGAGTCTCTCAAAATGATAAATAAACTCGGACTCTGGTGCTTCAATCAAACCAGATCGTAGTAGGTTTTCAGCATATTCCGGTTTTCTGTTTAGAGTCCCAACCCCCTTGATCGGCCCTAATGAAATTGTTGTCGCTGGAAGGCCCAATTCACGTCTATGCCTTGCCAGGTTGTCAAGGACCGCATTGGCTGCCGCATAATTAGATTGAGAAATATGTCCAACATAAGTCACAGTAGAGCTCGTCATGAAGAAAAAGTCCAGTTCGGCTTGTGCATCAAGTGTCGCTTTATGCAGGTTAAGGGCGCCGAGGACTTTGGGGCGAATAGCCGCATTGAAAGTTTCTAGAGTCATAGTATCAAAAAACGCATCCTTTTAATAATTAGCTATGTGACAGGATATTGTTGTACTTAGAAGATCTGGACTTACCTGTAAAACCATCGCAGCATGAACCACTCCTTTCAAAGGGCCCATCGAGATTGCCTTAGTAACAGCCTCCTCCACATCCACCATTCTGGATATATCTCCTCTCAGAGATGCAACATTAACGCCCTTCGCTTTTGCTCGTGATATGAAGGAAGCATTTTCTTGCTTGTTCTCCCCGGAACGAGATAAAAACACTAAATTCCGGGCACCATGCTCGATCAACCAATTCGCAATGCTGTGCCCAAGGCCACCATGGCAGCCAGCTAAGACATAACTGTTGTTGGCGTGAATTCCGCGGGGCTTTAGAACTCCATGTAGTTTGATTTTATTTTCAGTTTGGCCATAGGTCAATACTACCTTACCGATATGTTGTCCTTGGCCAAAGTATCTAAGAGCTTTTTCCATGTCGGTAATGTGGAAAGTCCGATCTATTTTAACTGGCTTTATCTTCTTTTCCCTTAGGAGCTCCGTCATATCTGCTAGAAGTCTGAAGATTATTAGCCAAAAAATAGTGTGAGATAGGTGGATGGGGGTCATACCGTGAAGCAAGTTGAGGCTTTTTCTCGAGCACGAAGTTGAGGTCGAAAGAGAACACACTAATGCTTTCATCAAAAACATGCAATCCCAGCTTTCCCTTGTCCAAAACATTCCCTCTACCCACATCAATTAGTCTTCCACATGGCGCCAGGCAGCCAAAGCCCTCATAGAAGCCTGGGCCTGAGATTGTGGAAAGCACTACATCAACTCCTCGCCCCTTTGTCTCTTTCAACAGGTTTTGCTTGAAGTCAAGAGAGCGAGACCAAAAGATCCGATTTTCCAGGATCCCCAATTCGTTAATCAAATATTCCTTTTTCGCTTGAGTACCAACAGTTGCATATATTTCTGCTCCGACGAGCTTTGAATATTGTATTGCTGCCAAGCCCAGACCACCTGTAGCAGCTTGAATGAGAACTGTTTCTCCAGCTTCAAGTTGTGCTAGGTATCTCAGGGAATATAATGCAGTACCAAGTGCAATGCCAATTGTAGCCATTTCAATCAAGTCATCACCGTCGTTTAGCTTTAGACACTTGGCGACGGGGCTTCTCAAGAATGTGTCATAATGGCCTCGCTCGAAGCATATAACCTTGTCTCCTGGTTTGATGTTCTTAACGTTAGTACCAACGCGGGATACAACCCCAGTCGATTCGATGCTGGAATTGACGCTTTCAAAATTTCCCATAGCAATAACATAGTCCTATACTATTGTTAGCTTTTGGGCAGTTGCTAGGGAGCGAGGAGACGTACTTTCATATTCAGGCCAACGGCTTTAACATTAATTTCCAGCTCATCTGAGCCGAGATCAATGTCGCAAGTAGGTTGCTCACGGAAGTATATCGTATCGAGAAGACCTGGTGTTTCAAGAGCTAGCTGCACATTCCCAGAGGTTGGGAAATCTTGGTCTACGCGACCATCTCCATTGTCCAACCTGAATTCTTCGTTCAGCTGAGCGTCAGGAACAACACGACTTATGTAAATGACACCGTTCTTGAGAATAAAATCGGTTTCACAATCTTCTCTTGATTGCGCCTTTGCAACCAATAAGAATATGTCCGCGATATGCTTAACAGCTGTTGTAGTTTCAGAGACAGCCGCATCGTCGAGGTCCAGTGTAGCAAACCTGAGATTCTTCGTTGAATTTTCATTCATCAGGACCGTATTGATTCCGTGGGCCATGGCAGCTGATGGATTTTTTCCGGCCATAAGGTCCCCTGCAGTAACCCAGAGAATGCTTGAGGCTGTACGGACAAGCTTCTTAAAACCTTCAAACTGCATTGGCTGCATATCAATTAGAGTCGGCTTATCGAGTTCTTCCAAAACGATATATCCTTGTGGCTGACTCGAGTCAACAAGCTCGGGCAAGTTTGCCATGGAGCTATACCTGACACTCCCTCCCGATTTCTCAATGAGTTGAGCAATAGCCAGGGCTAAGTCTGCCTGGTTAGCTGAGTGCACCTTAACGATGTTAGCAGTTGTCCACATAAAATAGGATATTCCACTTACAATGATTACAGGACCAATTTCCGAGACAACTGTAGTTCTAGTTGATGCGTGGATAGCAGTTGACATCATGACACTCTCAAGTGCTAGGGGTTCTGGGAAGTCTCTCAGAATCAAATCCAAGCCACTAAAACCAGAGAGGCGAAGTTGTTCATCCCAAGATGGCAGCGTTCTAAACGGGCCCAGGGGACGGTCACCATCAGCATCATCAAGACAGCCCCAAAAGCTCGGGAGAGTACCAAATGCAAATTGGACAGGTGTGAGACTCTCAGTTTGGGTGATCTCGAGCATGACCAGCTTTCCACCAGGCTTGAGGAGCTTGCAACAGTTCGCGAGCAATTTATCTGTATTTCCAGGTGCATGAAGCACATTGGATGCAAGAATTAGGTCGTAATCATGGCTGTTAAAGCCCTGGATTTCTGGGTCCCTTTCGACATCAAATACCTTAAAGGTTATAGCAGAGTACTCCGAAAACATCTCCTCGGCCTTCTCAAAGAAGGATGGTGAAATATCAGTAAAGGTATAATCTGCATATCGCTTTGCGTGCCCGTTGTTCTTGTCGTAGGTATTCAAAATGTCCAAAGCGACAGATGTGCAGCTTCCTGTTCCCGCACCCACCTCGAGAATCTTCATAGTTGGGTTTTTATGGGCTAAGTTATCAACTAGAGACCGAAGATTTTTACGCGCAGCATCATGAATTGAGCCGTCAGCATAAACACCAGCAAGAACTTCGGCCTCGACCGCCAAATTCACACCAGAAGTCGTTCCATTCAAGATTCCGCTCATATTTTCCATCACCACTCTATTATATTCTAGCTGGGGAAAGTTGGAAGGAAGCTCCGATAGCAACGCCTCAATTCGACGTTCTCGCAGATCAGGGGTAAGCTGTGTAGCATTATCATCGCAAAGTACCATGTTACCAGCTGCCGCCTCAGTCCTAACATGTCGCATCCAGTCATAGTATGCGTGAATCCACCGCAATGAGGAATCCGAAGGGAGGTTTTCCTTGCTAATAAGCTCAAGGGTCTTGCATATGTAAAAAACAGTCACTGTTTCTAGGCGAATGCGAATATTGTAGATTTCATCGAGGTATTTGATTCCCAAGGGAGACTTGAAATCGCTATGGTACAAGTCATTGGCCTTCTCCGAGTTGAGAAAATCAACATCTGGTTTCCAATGTAGTCGATAGTATGGCTCTCGTGCAGTACTCTTAGCCAACTTTTCTTGGCTACCCTGGTTCTCGAATTGGCGCCATCTGACATGTTTAGTCGAAATTATCTCGTAGCCATCCTCAGTTACTAGCCTGGAGTGAGAGCCACCACTCCGGGCACCCTCGGTCCAGGCAACACTGTCAATGATACCAGGCTGGTTTTTTGCCCAGGAGGCAGGATAAATTACCATATCTTCCACAAACACGGGGATCTGGGTCGCCTCTTCCTTGTCTATCCGGCTATTGTAAACAGCAACAACTCGGCCCTGGAGTACTGCATCAATTGTTAAAGGGTGAACTGCATACCGAGATTCGTGCGGAGTATCCTTAGCCATAGTCTTCAGAATGGGTGTTTTGGCTCGAGCGCGAGACTCGTAGCTTAGAATCTCGATTTCGTCTATAACTCGGAAGAAAGGCCCAAAGTCGAAACCTCGATACTTGAGTCGATCATACCAAGCGTCCTTGCCAATTTTCTCTTCAAATATGGGATCGGCTGTCTCATCAGCAAAAGAGGACTTCATTGTCCGCTTACCGTGCATGATTTCGTAGGAAATGGATCCATTAGCGTGTTCTGTCCACCGGTCATCAGTTACAGAACAAATTTTGAAATCAAACCGGTTACGCGCAGCCGAAGCGTCAGTTGGCCGCAGGTTGATCATAATGTCTGCTGTTCCACTGGCACCGATAACTAATGCAGCTTTGACAGCCATAGTGTGTAAGTGGAATTTTGCATCCTCAAACTCGAAATCAGGGCCACCAAGAGTCTCGTCTTCAGCAAACTGAGCAGCAGCTTCGATTGCCATGGCAATATACGCCACTCCAGGGACAAGGACTGCATTACCAATCTATCTAAAGGTTAGTTGATAGATGATATTCACAGTAGATATGTCAACTTACGACATGATCTTTAATCCAAGGCACGTCTTTCAAGCGGAGATTGTTTCGCCAGATTGGCTCCAGTCGATTACTGCCTGGAAGTCTGCTTCCAATCAAATCATGTCTTGGATGGGTAGCAAATTTATAGTCCTTAGTTGCACGGGTAACAATAAGTGGGTGTGGGTTTGTATGGCTCCAAGGGTATATTGGTAGGTCAGCGATAGGCTTTTCGGGTTGATAGGAAGCTTGACCGTTGACTTGACGCATATCAATTGAACAGCCTTTCATAAAAAGGTTCGCAGCGAGTCTCATCATGTCGTCTTCTGCATTGTGTTGTCTTTCAAGAGTGGACTCATATGATATCTTTGGTGCACTTCCGAGGTTGGATTTCCATATTTCGGTGACTTCCGGAGAGCTGATGATTTGATTGATGGGCCCCTTGAGAGCATTATGAGGCTGCAGAAAGCATGATTGTTAGTAGGACTTGACATATTTTAGAACAAAAGCGAGAGGGCATACCCCTATCTCTATCAAACAGTCCACGTATCGATCTTCAGGGCCAAATGTAAGCTCTAACAGATATTTTAATGCCGGGTCAAATAAAACTGGAGATTCCAGGTTTCTCTGCCAATATGCACCCGAAATGTCAGATAGTTGAAGAGGCTCCAGGATAACTGACGAAATCATCACGGGCCTGGAACTACCATCGACCTTATGTCGTCGGGTAGCAGCCGAATGGGATTGTACTGTGGATTTATTAGTGCTACACGGCGTGGAGTTGACAGCCGCAACTGAACCATGGCCGTTAGGTTGCTGCTTTGTTCCATTTATACCGTTTGGTATTTCAACAGCCTCCCTTATAGCATCACTATACCCCAAGCCGACTGACCTCATGCTAGGAGAATGATAAGCTTGGCCTCCGGTAGCTAATTTCTTGCACAGCACGGAACGCGCTTTCAAGACACTGTGTAGGTTGTTAATCGGCTGCAGCTTCCCACTAAGCGTGACGCTCTTATGAGAGTTGATGCAAGCAACACACACATCTTCTGGAGGAATATCCTGCTCTGCAAGGAGATTTTCGGCATCTAGTACCCCCATTGCCACTGCCATCATAGCCCCCGGTTCCTGCGTCAAAGCAGCATGCACGCCTCGTAGATAAGCTGCAATAATTGCATTCTCCGCTGAAATTAGTCCTGCAGCATATGCAGCAGCAAGTTCACCGGATGAGTGGCCAATTGTTGCTACGGGATTCACTCCCCATTCGCGGAGCAAATCCACTAAAGCGATCTGAATTGCCGTGCATACTGGTTGAGAAAATGCAACGTCTCCAATTCTGCTTGTTTCTTCTGGTTCAAGCAGTATATCTATTAGGCAGCTGCATTAGTGCATCGTAATCTCCGGCATAATGTGCTCTTTTATAGACATTACCTTGGAGTTTCCATGCTGGAGCAGGCTGTAGTTGAGCTAATGCTTTATTTAGCTTCCAGAAAACTCGTTTAACCTCAGGGAAACTATCTAGGAGCTCTCTTCCCATCCCCGCCCATTGCGCCCCCTGCCCGGTGAAAACAAAAGCTACCGTGGGGACTGCGAGATTTGCCTTCCCCGTTGACGGTTTGCCGAAGCCATCCTCATGATTGGAAATTGTTATGGGTATGATGCCGCGATAAGTAAATCTAGTCCTGCGCTCAGTTAAGGTATAGAGCAGCCCGTGAATGTCATATTTTCCACTGTGCAATACGTCAGATACGTTTTCCAGGCTTCTCGAAAGTGAGTACTCATCGTGGGCGGAGATCGGGAGTAAAAACTGTGTCTGCAAAATGGACGTATAAGGGTCGATACAGAGCTGTGCCTGCGCACCAAGCAGCATATTTGAGCCTTTCAGATATTCCTCAATAGTTTCAAGCACTACATGCCCATTGGCGCCCCCATACCCTGTACAGTTGACGGATGTGCGCTTTGCTTTGTTTGCAGGCCAGGGAGTGTTTTTGGTGACAACAGCCAGGCATCCCCGTCGCAAATCCACTGATCAGCGGGGAATTAGCTAGTTAGCAGCGTCCGACAAACATGACATTAACTAGTAATCAGGGGCACTCACAGTTTGGATTCAGCCTGTTGATACCGATTGTTCCGGGAATAATTCCTTTTTCCATCGCAAGAACGACTTTGATAATACTTGTCAGGGCAGAGCCAGCCTCACCATGACCTACCTGAGGCTTTGTTGATCCGATAAGGATGGGATCATGCCAGTCTCTACTGTCTTCAAACACGTTCGCAATCGCTGTGGTCTCGATCGGATCACCGATGGGCGTTCCAGTCCCATGGCATTCAACGAACCCAACGGCGTTATAGTCAATAGGCCCCGAGTGCTCATATGCCTTTCGGATAGACAACTCCTGCGCCATTGCGCTAGGCAGTGTGATACCATTGTTTTTGCCATTCCTATTCGAGGTATTAGTACTCCGTAGCTGCGCAGTATCAACCTCCCAATCTCAATAGTCGCCTCATACGGGCTCTCTGTGGACTCACGCAGTTAAAGAGACGCCTCTAATTACCCCCCTAATAGGATCTCCGTCTCTCAACGCATCAGAGACCCGCTTCAAGTATAAAACATTGATGGACTCTCCCCGCGCGTAGCCGTCGGCAGACGCGTCAAAGGCGTGGCACATGGCGGTTGGAGACAAGGCGCCAATTTGGCCAATAGCAAAATGGTATTCCAGCGTCAAGATAAGGTTGACGCCGCCGACAAACGCGGCTGGGATCTCGCCGTTGCGAAGAGCCTGAACGGCGAAGTGGAGAGCATACATCGTGGAGGAGCACGCCGTGTCCATGGTGACGCTAATCTAGTTGTTAACATGATACCCTCAGAGTAGCTAACCATTCAACAGAGATAGCTCACCTTGGTCCGTTCAAGTTGTACAGATAGCTGACGCGGTTGCTCACAGTCGTCCTCCCCATACCCAGAACTTGCATGCCCTCGATTTTCTCAGGCTCTTTGAACGCCAGTGACTCGTAGTCACTGGCAAAATTACCAATATAGACGCCAGTCATTGTATTTGCAACCTGGTTGAGGGTAATACCCCCGCACTCAAGAGCTTCATAGCAGCATTCGAGCAGCTGGCGCTGTTGAGGATCTAGTGTCTGAACGTCCGCACTCGTCATTTCAAAAAAGCCATTGTCAAAATCCTCGAGATCATTGTCAATACAGTAGCTCTCTGTATAACGAATGCACCCGGTCCGGTCCTTCTGAGGATTGTAGAAGGCTGCAGCGTTAAACCTGCTAGCTGGGACTGGGCCGCGGGCACAGCGCTGGCTCAGGAGGAAATCCCAGAATGATTCTGGGCAAGTTACACCTCCAGGAAGGCGACAAGCTGGTAGATTCGAGTACGCTATCGTCAACCCCATATATCCAAAGTGAAGCAGTAGGCCACTTACCCATGCCAACAATGGCAATGCCTTCATCAACGGTGTTTGCCATATTTCTTATAGCTTCAGTAAAGAACTAGTTACCTCTGACGGCCAAAGGTGAAAAGGTATACTTCATTAACAAAGACCCCAGAGTGATTCTGAGTTATCCTTGAACAGAAAAAGACCAGAAATCCATGGTGATGTAGTAGGTATATCAATAGAGGAACGGGAATAGGCTCCTAACATAGTGTATGGGTCTCCGGTTATCTCTAACGCTGCCGGGTCGTTTGGAGCGAAGCAGGCTACGCAAACTTGTCAGGCGTGGGATAATTCTGTGAATGCATGCAATCAAGGATGTCCGTACTCTGGAATGTTTGGAATTGCATTAATACTCCGGACACCCTCTAAATGCATGATGTTATCCCAGGCAGAGGCTTGGGCTTTAAGACGCAAACAGGGATTGGCAGGACAAATAGCCAACAGTCAACTCTCCATGAGCCGCCTACGGCATGGCTAGGAGCATTCACCGTCTCCACCTGTCCCAGTTGTCCGGTTCAAAACTCTACGCTGGTTCTCTATGGATGCCGTATTTGCCTTGATGCGTCCTGGAATTGATGCATTCCACCTGCCAGGTTCAGGGAATACCGCCCAATTAGAAGCCGATAATCCTGGGGGTTGCATCTGTAGTAGCAGGCAGCGACATATCCCCCCTAGCTCACCTAGGCACGTTTCTCTATAACTTCCCGTTTGATTGTTCCCGCATGATACACACTTCCGCATGTGCATGTATAACCTTTCCAGACATTTACTCCAAGTTGGCGGAACTCCGTCCCCCGAACCATCCTCAGGGGTGTGAGGGGGAAAGTCGACAAGATGTAGATACCAAGACACTAAGGGACCTGAGTTCAATCGACGTGGTGACGTGGATTCCACCTTCCTTTATGATAACAGAGCAAATCCCGTATGCAGTGACATCTGAAGAGTAGCTGGGATGGCCTCCACATAAGGACACGCTCTATTTCAAGTGACATAGGATAGCGGGTCTCCTTTGGCTATTTAAATGGTCTTTATTGACCAAATGAACGAGTGTGTTATAATTTCACGAATTAGAGATTTGCGGCGAATATGACGATTGTCCCTAACCTTCCTGTCGTTGCTCTTGCAGCCCAAATTCGGTCTCCAGATGTGTCTTTAATTCAAGCTGGCGAATTGGAATACTGGCAACGAATCCGCAAATGCCGAAGGGTATTGCTAACAACCATACAAACCTTAAAGATTGAGTATATAACCCAATCACCTCCGATAATAGTTTCGGGTCATGCATGAGGGAGGATGAGAGGCCGGAACTTGCGAGTGCATATGCTCCACCGTTCGAGAGCTGACGCCTCAAAGAAGGATCGCTGATTCCTCCGAGAAGGGATTCAGTCTTCTCGTTAAATATTGCGGTGGGGATAGCAACCCCCCAGATGGACCCAAAACTCCGCATAAATGCCCAGGTTGCAGTTGCCGTAGCCATGTCAGATTCGTGCAAAGAGGCTTGTATTGGCGGTAATGTGCTCGAATATATCAGGCCTGACCCAGCTCCAAAAATTATCTGGAACCCTGCCCAATATCCAGCCGATGAGTATTGATCAAGAACTGAGAAGAGTCCTACGGCGATTGACATAAGACCGAAACCAATGAAATGGAAAGCTCGGTACTTGCCCCAGACAGAAATCAGAATACCGGCCAGGATACCGAAGGGGGCAACTGCACCCGTAATCGGAAGAACGAAAAGCCCGGACTTCGTTGCGGACGTTCCCAGCACAGCCTGGAAGTAGACTGGCAGGAAGTAGCCAACCCAATAGATCAGAATAGAACCCGTGAATCCTAGGATGAGGGAAAAAAGGGATGTAGGTGTGGGGAATAACCTCAATGGGATAGATGGTTCACGGCAGAAACGCGATGTCTGATGTGCATAGAAAAGAATCAATCCCAGGAACCCAATAGCGAGGGGTAAAATAATCTTCCAAGAAGACCAAGGGTAGAGCGTGCCCGCCCAGGTCAATGACAAGAGAATAGATATGACAGCCATGACAAGTATGACATTGCCAATAAAGTCCACACGTAAAAGCTGTTTGTAGAACCCATTACCTGGCGGAGATGCCACACGCAAGAAAAAATACAGCAAAATCAGGGATAGCCCGGAGAGAGGGAGGTTTATATAAAAAATCCATCTCCAGGAGGCATGCTCGGCTAGCCCGCCACCAAGTACTGGCCCTATCACAGTGCCAATGGCCCAGATAACACCCATTAGCGCAACGTATTTTCCTCGTTCACGCATAGGTACCAGATCCCCAATGACAATATCTATCAGGGTATTGATGCCCCCGCCGCCAATACCTTGAATAGTTCTGCCTAGAATGATCACGGTAGTTCCGTTCGCACCTCCAGCTAATCCGCTACCGACAGCAAACCAGACAACCGAGAGGATTAAGAGCCATCTCCGACCGAAGATGTTGGCTGATTGACCGAAGAGGGGTTGCGTGACAGTAGACGAAAGCACGTACGCATTCGTAATCCAGATGTATAGAGGACCAGCGCCCAAATCCTTGGATATAGTAGGCAGCGCCGTTGAGAGAATTGATGTATCGAGCGCAGATAAAAAAGTAGTCATGCATAGTGCAGGGAATATAGCCCAAAAACGCCATGTCTTCTGCGTAGAGATAACCGTGCTAATGGTATCGGCCTGGCTGTGTACTCCTGCCTCTGTTGGAATTGTAATTGTATCATTTCGGGAGCAGGCAGCAGTTGCTTCTCTCATATTGGCCAACGCCCAGCAGTTATGCAGCTCGTTGCTATCAGGCCTCATAAAAGAGGATATATATTGAGCAGAGACATTATCATTGAGCCGTGACAATTCAGTTGGCAGGCACCAATATATATATCTCGGTCAACAGAGTTTGGGGGCACAAAAAGTCGCCCACATTGTCAATCACCAATCCTAAAATGGTATGCATTGCGAGCATGCTGAGACGACCGGGTATTTTTATGTCGACAGGGGTCCCTAGAATGGTCGTTCACTCCCGTCAGCCCCTTCCGGTTGGTCTCTTGCGCCTGCATGGCGTTGAATCCTTGGAGCAAGTCGGCATCTCGTTCAGGAGCAGTGCCGGCATCTTTTGGCCATGGGTATCAACACATATCCTAACAGCAATTTATTACATAGTTATATATCGCAAAACACCCGACAGAGTGCCAGTATCTGTGTATTTGTGAGGCCAGCAGTTGATGCTGGCCGTCGTATTGCATTGGAGCATCTGAGCTGAACTCATGTTTTGCATGCAGTTATTAGAGCCAGTTAAGGTCCAGGGTCCTTGCTTTCGATTGGCTCCATTTTAAACATTTCTGATTGGCTTAAGTTAAACTAGTTAGGTAACTGCTTTACGTGCTGCCTTGGCATGGACTTCCATTAAACTCGAGAGGCTCGAGAGTTACGTTACTGGGGAATTGTCGACTGCAGTAGGGATTGTTTACATAGTTGCCAGGCACATGTCTCTTAGGCAACATTATATACCGGCGCGATATAATGCTGACTGGAGAATGGACAAATGGACCTAGAAATAATGCAGCTCAGGACAGGAAAAATCATAAGCTTACGACTTTATATGCTGACAGAATGCAAGGACCAGTCTCAAGTGGTTATATTATGGGCTGCAATGATTGATAGTCTTGATCCGCTGCATAGTGAACACAGAGCCAGAACGCCGTCTCGTTATAGGCAGAACATGGTTGTAGAATCGTGAGTTAGCCATTTATCCAGTCTCCTGGTCGTCAGGCTTAGCTAGATCATGCTCCTTTAGAAGAGCATCGATCTCATCAGCACCCCAAAGGTGGTGGTAGATTTTGCCGTCCTTGGTCTTTCCAACAGTGGCAAACTCAACTAAAATTCCCCATGCTAAATTAGATATATCCAACAAATAATCTTGGAAAAGATGTAAAGTGCTTACTCTTCTTGCTGCTCAGTTTGGTAGAGTCCATGGTCTTGCTCAGAACCTTGACAGCCATGCCACATGCCTCCTTCAAATCACAGTCTTCCTTGTAGTCTTGCTTCAAAAGACTTTGTGCGCTAGCATTGTTAGCCCCGACACTGGTAGCTTTCCATCCACCATAGTTGCCGCTAGGGTTGCTCTGGTATAACTGGAATTGCCGGAGTGGGTCGTAGCCAGCGTAGATGAACGATACACCGAACGGCCGAAGACCACCATGCTGGGTGTAGCCCTGCTTCAAATCACATAATCGACGGACTAGTTGTTCACACGGGATATCTTCGTTGTAGGTGAGGAGATATCGTTGAGCGGCTTGACGGGCATAGTTGATGAGTATATTGGCATCGGCAGTCATTCCGGCAACGGCACATATCATGTTACTATAGCCATATTGTTAACAACGGGCGGGATTAGAGTGACATTGCTCCATGGAGGATAACTGACTCGTTTAAGATGTAGAGCTTCTCTGCAGAGGTGTCCTGCTCCAGAAGCTTGCTGGTGACCTTCCGCTCCGCAGCGAGAACTATCCCATCCTTGGCCAGGATGCCGAGGGCAGTTCCGGCGTGGGAGATGGCCTCTAGAGCATATTCAACCTGATACAGGCGGCCTTCCGGCGAGAATATAGTTGTCTACAGCCAGTATCACCGTCAGCCTGGCGCCTTCAGCTAGCTAGCGAGCCGATTAGTCGGAAGGAGAGAGGCCTACCCTAGAGTCGTATCTCCGCGCCATTTGTCCTGTTCCAAGTGCAGATCCGTATCTGTAAACAGTTTAATCTCAAGCAATCTACTTCCAGCGCCCGGTATGAAAGTAGTGTCGGCCTTCCCTCTGCTTCCCCGTCGTCTGTCTTGCTGTCGTTGTTGTTGTTCGGACAGCTCAAGAAGCAACTTTCAGTGAGTTAGGTTAGGCCACCAAAAGCATCGCGCGTACCAAGAGAGAGCTCGGGCCAATCAGAGAGCAGCCGCAGAACTTCGACATAAAAAAACACCAGAAAGGCAGAAGGCGAGGAGAGGGAGAACAACACCAGAACAATTAAATACGTCTTCCAGGACGGCGAATACTTTGGGGACATAGTGAACAGGATGCTGAAGTCGACTTATACTCCAGCCAATGCCCTCCCGCCAGGATGGACCGAGCACAAAGCGCCCTCAGGTAAGGAGATACAGAAGCCTGACCCTTGAATAAACGGTTCATCCTGACAATTATATGTACCAGGGCATCGATATTACTATAATGCAGAGACAAAACAGTCAACATATAAGCGGCCTGTTGAAGAGACACCGGTGCCTGTGGCGGTACCAGCTGCACTACCGTCATATCCGCTACAATTTCAACCACCTGCCCATGTTACCCGAGGCTTTGACCCGAACTTCCAAGGACTCTCTCGAACTAGAGAGCCCTATAGAAAACACCGTCACCCTGAAGACCGGCCGAAGACAAAACATGCTATACCCGGATGTGCTCCGTGGGTTCTGGTAAAGACAAAGCTGGGCCGTCGGTTTGTCCACAACCCAGAGACAAACGAGAGCTTTTGGAAATATCCTGCCGAGGTGATGAAGGGTGTTGTGGAATATGACCGTATTGAGCGAGAAGCTAAAGAAAGGCGTGAGAGAGGAGAAGAGGAGATACCGAAGGCAGAGGCTGGTATTGAACCATCTGAAAAGCGATCAGAACAAACACCAATTCCCGCTGAGGCTGTGCCCAAGAGACGAGACTCAGATAGCGAATATGAGGAGGTGGAAGTGACGGACGATGAAGAGGAAGAACCGTCGAAGCGACTAAAAACCGACGAGGAAGTTAACCAGCAGGTCGAATTCAACGAGGATGACATCGAGTATCAGTTGGCCGCCATGGCAGACGACTACGGTGGTGGCCCCGGCGAGTACGACGAATATGGCGAAGCTGGCGAAACTGAATGGCAAGAGAATGAAGAGGAGCCACCCCTCTCTGAAGAAGATACCATTGCTCTTTTCCGTGACTTGCTTGACGACTTCAGGATAAGCCCATATACTCCTTGGGAAACTATTATCGAAGAAGGGAAGATAGTTTTTGATCCGAGGTACACGGTTCTGCCAAATATGAAATCAAGACGGGAGGTCTGGTCTAATTGGAGCCGTGACCGAATCCATGAGCACAAGGAACGCAAGAAGAAGGAACAACAAGCAAACCCTCGAATTGGATATTTTGCACTTCTGCATGAACATGCTACCCCTAAACTCTATTGGGCTGAGTTTAAGCGAAAGTATCGAAAGGAGCCGGAAATGAAAGATAGCAGAATACCAGAAAAGGAGAAAGAAAAGCACTACCGTGACCATATTGCAAGACTAAAACTTCCAGAAAGTACTCGAAAGTCCGATCTATCTTCTCTACTCAAGTCTATCCCGCTATCATCACTTAACATGTCAAGCTCGATCCACTCACTACCTCAGCAAATTCTATCCGACATTCGATATATATCCCTACCTTCGCAAACCCGAGATGAGCTTATCGAGTCTTACATCCTTACACTTCCCGCGGCGCCAGAGCAAGCGGATATGCTAGATGATGCTGAAAAGACCGAACAGCTAAAGAAAGAGCAAGAACGGCGAAAGCGAGAGAAGGCTTTGCATGACCGTGAAATGAGAGTGCAAGAAGAGAAGCGAAGACAGCAGAGAGCAGTTATGCATAGCAAAGATGCTCTCCGCCAGGAAGATGCGGAGGTTCAGAGAGCTATGAAAGTGGGCAGAGAGGGTCTTAAAAGTTATATGGATGACACCTAGCTGCGTGTGTACCGCATATATTCTGGTGCTACTAATTGTAAATAGGTATCGCGCTATGCTATATTACATCAACGAACATGATCATTGGAAGACGAATTAAAAGCAGGGTATCGCTTATAAATGACTGATTCAGGACAGTTTTCAACCATTTGTACAAATCCTTTCTTCATCATCTAAATCCCCAATCATCCCAACTTTCTCCCTCATCATCGTCGTCGTCGTCATCGTTTTCATCTTTGTCCCCATCGCCGGCCGTGTGTTTATTATCCGATAGCCCACTTTCTTGTACATCATTGAGTCTGCTCCTCTCTTCTTCTCGTTTTCGGCGAATCTCATCCCGCATCTGCTTTAGCCGTTTGACACGTTGATCCAGTTCCTCCATCTCGTCGAATTCTTCCTCTAAGAATCTGGTAGCATCCTCACGGTCCCCCAGCAATGCTGCCTCTCGGCTCTTTGCCATCGCCTCCCGATCCTCGCGTTCACGCGACTCAAGTTCAGCGGCAGACACGGGGGCAGCAGATATTGTCGCCGAGGTATTTATTGTGGTAGGCGGTTGCTCCCTGGAAGGCTGAGCAACTTCCCGCTCGAAAGCTGCCCACTCATCCTCGTCGACAGCTTGATTTTCAGGTGCAGGTGAAATCTCCTCGGTAATTATCTCAGGTGCGGCCTCCGTTTTATCCGCACTAAGGCTTCGGGGAGGCGACGGTCCATCAGGTATCTCTGCTGTACTATTGACGGTCAGGGCACTCTCATCTTCCGCCTCGTCTTCTGTGTCTGCCCTGGGCTTCTTCCGTGCTGGCTCCAAGTCAGGGCCGTGTCTGCGTTTTTTGGCGGCTTTCGAGCTTGGGAGCTGTCTTGATGCCAGTTCGTTTCGAAGGAGTTCCCGAACATCTACCATAGTGACTTTCTGGTTGTGAGGGAGTGATAAAGATTTTTGGTAATCGGCCTGTGTAGTCGACCTGGAATGTTGACGCCATCCAAGAGCTGTCAGCCATCTCGTCTTTAGCTCGCTACCTTCTGCGGCTCCAGTTAATCTTAATTAACTTATGTAATTAAGTTATAGTCACGTGAACTGGATTACTTAGCTGATTAAAGTTTCTCTCTATGTTTATTTTTAGCTCATTGGAGCACTTCCGTCACAGGAATATTAGAACTGACCAGAACCTCGAGGGAGACCAGAAAGAATATAAGGAAGAGAGATGAGCTATCATACAATATAGCGTCATATCTACACTCATTATTTCGTGACGAAAATTAAAGATAACGTAGGAAAATCGTCCGTCTCAAAAGCCTTTCTTAAACCAGATACCTATCTGAACCGCCGAAACACCATTCCAGCAGCTAATCCAACAGCAAGGCCAACTAGACCTGTCACGATAGCCTCGTTCTCCAGTTCAATGTTAAACCATCCTGCCATTTTTCAGTTAGCTATAAATCACCAAAATTGGAATCTATATCATATGAACCTACCCCTTTGCGCCTCTGGCTCAGGCGCAGACACATCAACGGGACTTTTGATGAAGTTGCCTAAAACACAATCCCCAGACTTCTGTTTACCGTAGCTGACCTTTGCTTGGAGTTCCGGGTCAATGTTCAGGTAAAGATCAATAATGATATTCACATCTTCGCTTGTATTTTGCTCAGGAACTGCTCGTCTATGTTTCCTATATCCCGTCCTTGTGCGGTGCGAGGTATCACTTCTCGGTATCTCTGTTTCAGTCTCCTCTTCTGAAGAGTAATACCGGCCAAAAGTAGCCCGATGCCTCTTTCTAGACTCGGGTTTTGGAATGGGGAAATGTGGACGCCGCGTATTCCTATAAGTATCACTTAGTGAAGAGAAGAAGAAACCGGGGTGTCTCCATGGCTTTACATACCATGTTTGACCAACACATGGGTACCTTGGTCTTTTCACCCGCTCATAAAAGCTATCTGAAGAAGTTTCCGTGGAGGCATTCTCGGATGGTGAGAGTACGCAACTCGGAGAAGTAGGACCGCCCATGCGCCTTCTCTCCCGCCGTTCCATAAAATCAAACTCGGACACCAGAACGACATCAAGGTAATCAAAATTCATAGGCTCCACGCAAATATTGGTACCATGCAATTTGTCATACATGAGTAACTCGTCATCTGTCGAAACATCCATGGATGGCTTACGGTAACGAGGTGACGCAGGTTCCCCTCTAGTATTCCAGGCGTTTCCGCAGAAGTGCGACTTGAATGATATAGGGTATTGGCAGGCGGTACCTCAGAGCGTGAAACTTCTTGATTCTCATCTTGATTCTCTGTCCCCTGGGGTGTAGTCACTGCCTCTTTCTCATTCGCATCCTCAGTGTCTTGCCCCTGCGGGGAAGCAAAAATGGGCTCATCCTCACCCGGCTCTACTGTGGGTTGCAAACCGGGGGAAATGACTCTCTCTAGATAATCGTGGGATTTTGCCAGGGGTGATTCTCCAGTGTCAGCCTCATGTTCATTGACAGGTATATTTTCGGTCTCAGTTTCTTGAAGCCCTATTACACTTGGTCCGTCACCAATACACCAATCGAAGAGCGAGCGTGGGGCTGATGGCAAGCGAGGAGGTGTGGGTATACCTTTGGCTCATCTCTTTTCCCTTGTCAGCCTCTCAAACTCAGATAGTGGAATGAAATTTCGTGGATATGGCTCCGAAAAGACACAATATTTTGGCCGCCCGAGCCTAGCAACTTTCTCTTGTATCTCCTGATCCTCGGGTGAGGTATCTTCCGGTGCACCCATAGTTTTGGGTGCAGGATTAGGAGGAGTTCTGGAATAGTTTTTCATGCGCCTATCACCAGGCAGTCGAGGGCCACTTGGCTTTTTAAATACCCAAGGAACAGGCCCAAATACCTCGTCACTAAGCGATGTGTCTGTATCAGATGCATCCTCGCTTAACATTTGTTTTTCAGCTCGCCGTCTTGCGCGTGCGTACTTTCTGTCCTGCCTGTCTTCTGAATCTTCGGCTAGGAGACCCTGATCCAGGCGCTGCTGACGCATCTCTGCGTCTTGTTCTTTGCCCATTCTCCTATTTCTATCTCTCTTCTCCCCAAGTCTGTCCTGCCATTCTTGATAACCCTTGGCCGGAGCTGCATATCCCGATTCATCAACAGGGTATCGCAGATGAAGTATGTCAGAGTGAATAGGAAGGTCCTCCACATCATCTTCTGTGATTCCCAGATCATCTTCGTTCGACGCTTGCTTCTCCCCTTTGGTACAATTAGTAAAGGATGTGGCTGCTTCATCCTCAAATACCCAAGGAGCAGATCTAGATTCATCCTCGCTAAGGGAGCTGTCGGTGTCAGACAGCTCATCCCTATACGCTTGTTTCTTTGCTAAATTTTGAGTCCGCGTCTTTTTTCTCAGCCGTCGAGACTCTAGCTTGTCCGCAGGGAGACCCTGAGCTAAGCACCTGGTTCTTTCTGCTTCATGAAACTTCTTTATTTCATGATTCTGCTTGTTCATCAGTTGCTTTGAACCATCCTTCAATTCTTGGTATCCATTGGTTGGAGCAGCGTATCCGGATCCATCGGCAGAATAATTTAGACCAAACGTATCTAGATAAGGAGGAAGCTCTTCGACATCATTTTCATTTATTGGGTCATCTCGGCCCAGTCCGGGGTTTTTGATACAATCGGTAGAGTTAGAGTCGTATGAAGAGGAATCACCCAGTTTGGATGATGTATCACTAGAGTAACTGGCAGAATTTTGAATCTGATTATCCACCGAAGTGATAGCCGGGCTGTCCTTATGGTTGTGGTGGTCGATATTACTCGCGTCACATACTAGGTCCGGTTGCATTTTGACGGCGTGCAAAATCCAGTTTGTTGGGGATAAAAGGTAGTTTGGATGCAATAATAAATGAACATGGAAAGTTTATCTGCCAGTATGTAAGGAGAAAGAAGATGAAGAAGCTAGAGACCAGAAAAATATTTGTTCTCGATGTGGTTGTTTGTTGGGGAGGCCAGACAGGCAGCGGGTAGTGTCTATGCGGCTAAGCGCCGGGGCTGCTGATGTCACAAGTTAACCATCCCTGCATAACGAATAGGTAAAAATACTCACAGAGGTCCTATAAATAGGACGACATGTACGTCGTCCCCAGGCTGGCGGTTATGCATCAGATTATCCGGTGTGTTCTTGGTTACCAGCCGAGAATATATGTGAAACAAGCCCTGGGTTAGGTTTCGCTACCGTGCTAACTGGGAGATGAGTGCATATATATAGATACTCCCATGTTTCGCCTGGCGCTGAAATATACAAGGTCTTGACTCGCACAAAGACGTCCCTTGAAATACCTTTTTTTTTTTTTTTCTTGTTTGATCTAGGCAACATGGTCACGCATGCTCGATCGATGTCCCAGGTTTTTAATAATTATTACCGCACTGTTGTACCTTCATACCTCTTGGAATTGCCCACCATCCAACCAAACGATCACAGGCAGAGGATGGCTGCGGCGCTGGCATCTACCCCAATAGCTCCTTTCCCCTCCTATTTCCCCACCAAAATATTTAATGTAAACCGTCGCGGTGACACTGCTGCCTACCCAGGAAGCTGGAGGGAGATCTCGGAACCCTGGCAAAAGATCTGGAAAGCAAGAGAACTGCTATTCTAGCCAATTACTTCCAGGATGGCGCAGAAATTTCATGCAGAAGTATACTTCTAGAACCCCAGGACAGAGAACAATGCGTTGCTGGTGCTGCTGTCTGGTTGGGTTGCAGACAACTGGCTCTTGACTTCTAATAAAACAGCATCGGAAGCAGCAGCAGCCGCCCAAGAGAGACTGAGAATACCCTGGGTATTGATAAAAACTTCCTCCAGTGAATGCATTGACCAGGGCCCTGATCTACAGTGACTTATTATATGTCTAGAGCAAAAAGAAACGAGCATTTGAGCTAGTAAGATATGTTCAAGAAACATGCTGAGCTATTATCTAGCCCTATTGAAATTGTATCAAGGGGTATTTTCATAGTGATTTTCACTAGTTGTTATTTTGTTTGTTTGTGAGTTGTAATTATTTATAATTTATGGCTTTTCTTGCAAAAAGATAATGTTCTAGATAGTATAAAACTTTGTGTAGAATCGGATAAAGGCAGAATATAAAGATATCAGTATTCAGCTAAGCTAAATAAAAGTAAGCAGGTTCTCCTTTTTTCCTCTGTTGTTGTTGTTGCTGTTGATATAAAAGTTGTTCTTTTGACGTTGATTTTAGAGTAAGCTATCACGTGAGAGTCTAACCACTTCTAGTAACTATTTGTCAGCCAACTTTTTTCTCTTTCTTTCTTATGACAACAACTTCAGCAATATCGCAGCAATAATAACAAGTTTCTCTCTTTTCTTTCTCCTTACGCGCTTTTTGTTTCATGAATACTAGGGGTCCCTATGATAATTTATCATAACCCTATCCTCTGCTTGATAAAAGATACCACATTGCAACGTGTCCTGAGCGCGCTTTTTGCTTCATCCCGTTCGCGCAGACAGCCCCAATACAAGCAGCGATAAGCAAGAGTGCGTTTTCCTGTTTCCAGGGCAGCGATACCGTCACTACATAAACTTGAGTTGATAAAGAGAAGAGATATAATTACGATTCCTTCTCTTACGGTACGGCTATTGAGTCTGGGAGTGGAGGCTTTCCCCGCACAAGAAAAGTATCACTCTGGTATACACGATATTACGTTCAAGGAGGGAGTTCAGATATCAGTTATCCGTCACGTCTGCTGTCATCAGAGACAAGCCCTGTGTATTACTCTTAAGCACCTTCGATGCCTGTAGTCAAAACGGTTTCGTTGGGTTGCAAGCAGAATCAACAGCCCTCGACGCTCCTGAGCTTCAAAGGATTGTAGTTATCGGTTATCAACAGCGTTTCTGTCTCCTTAACTTATAAGATCATGGCTGGTAAGCACTTGTATCCCACACTGTACATTCTTGGTTTGCCAGAGAGCATCCAGAACAGCGATGCCTTCGTGAAATCCCGGTCATCCGTGTCGTGGATGGAGCAGACCACGTTTTTATGAACAGAAACTAACATACGGTGACAGACGAACCACGCCGCTCCGGCCGAGCAACCAAAGGCCAGCACAAGAACCTCGATATCGACCCCCCGCAAAACAAACGGAAAAGCAAGGGCCAAGGAAAGGGTCAAAAACAAAGCTCGAACGAACCCACGCCGCCAGTGTTGAACGAAGAAGACGAAATAATCCGATGTATATGTGGCGAATACGAGGAGGAAGAAGACGTCGAACGTGATATGATATGCTGTGACAAATGCGCTGCCTGGCAACACAACGACTGCATGGGACTTATCTTCCCCAAGGGAGAAGAGCCAGCTGAATATTTTTGCGAGCGGTGCAAGCCAGAGAATCATAGGGAGTTGTTGGACAAGATAAGTAGGGGTGAGAAACCATGGGAAGAAGCGGCAGCAAAAAGAGCACAAGAGGCGGAAGAGAGGAAATCTCGCAAAAAGAAGGGTGGGAAACGAGGAAAGAAGGCTAGGCAAAGTGACGTCAAACCAGAGCATAGCGATACTCCAACTATGGCCAAGAGTGACAAACAGTCGCCCCCAATGCAGCACAATATTGAAGTAGCTGTGCCTCTTCATCATGAGGACGTCGGTGCCCATAAACGCAAACATGAGGAACGAGAGGAGAGTATTACGCAGGAATCCGTAAGTTCAACTATGTGCCCCCCCTTTTCCCTTATATACAAGCTTACCATAACAAAACCCTAAGCAGGGTTCGAGACAGAAACTTCAAAAGCTGTCTACAAACCTCCCAGCATCATCCTCGCCTGTTCAGAGTGGAATGCAAAGCGCAAGGCAAAGTGCCACGAGCCCAATGACTCCTAGCCAGGGCCCCAATTTGAAATCTCGGTCTGGGTCTACAGCTGGGACCGATCACCTGATTGTAGCCAGGAGAAGCGCCGCAACCGCTTTGTCCAAGCTGGTCACCGAGATTGCTGGTACTGCAGTGGCTGCTGGGACCTTCACTATCCCGTCAGACAGCACAAAAGAGGCTGTCGGTGAAAGGCTCGGAACAGAAATAGAAGATTGTATGTACAGGAATCTTTGTGGGTCAGCCGGGGAGCCTAATGATGCCTATAAAAACCAACTGCGGACCATCCTGTTCAATGTAAGGAAAAATCCTTCGTTACGTGATAGTCTGCTTGTAGGCCGTACAACACCAGATGCTATATCGACAATGAGCACACAGAACATGGCCAGCCAAGAGCTGCGTGAAAAAGATGAAGAGATCAAGCGGGAGGCTGAGAGACAGCATACTATCATTCAGGAGCAGGGGCCTCGTATCAGACGGACCCATAAAGGAGAAGAGCTGGTAGAGTCCGATCCACAGACAATTGGCACCGAATCCGTCTTCTCTACCGCACCAGCTCGTCGGGACACTGCTACCGAAAGTGAGCTACCATCCGCCAAGAGCCCGCGACATACCAGCCCAACTGCCGCCCATGGTCAACCACATGCAGATAGGACTACGCGCGAAACTTCTGATACCAATCGTCGAAACTCTTCCAATTTCAATATTGAAAATGTTTGGTCCAGCGTCCATTCTCCCGGCGCCTCTCACTCGGAACAGCAATTCGGTCCCGCATCCTCATTCAATGAGCCTTCACACCCCATGAACAAAGTCCAGGAGGACGCAGAGATTGACAACTTGCTGAGGGACGAAGCTGATTCCCCTCCTTACTCTCCCAAGGACATTCAGGACGATGGAGACATTTGGCACGGTTCCGTGTCTATGAGCTCTGTAGCAGAATTTCGTACTGCCGGAAGGCATGTCGGTGGCGCGGACCTCAGTGCAAAGATTCCCTGGTCACAACTTGTCCCTCCAAGAATTACAGTGGATGGTCGGATCGATGTCCAATTGGCAAGTAATTACCTTTGCGGATTAAGATATAGCCATACTACAGATATTTCAGTGGTGGCCCTTGAGCAGCCCCATTCAGCAGACGATGCCGTACAGTTCAACAGACTGTTCAATTATTTCATGGACCGCAAAAGGTACGGAGTGGTCGGAAAACATCCTCTTCCTGCGGTCAAGGATGCCTACCTAGTACCCGTAGAGGCCGGTCACAGCAAGAAACCCGACTTTATTGAACTACTCGAGAACAACCAAGTCCAAGACCCCACACCAACTCGGCTTCTCCTCTTTGTTCTTGTTGTCAAAACCAACTTCAACCAATCTACACCCTCCCATACAACCCCCCAGGCCCCTTCCAGGAGTGCTGCCAGTCCTTTGCAAGCGGATAATGAGTACAACCCAGTCGATCCCGCAGGGCTAGGCCACGCTCAGGGAAACACCCCTGCCCAAGGTCCTAACCCCCAGCAAGGACAGTTCAACAACGGTTCCACCAACGCCCCGTCACCTGGCCAAGCTCTCACTGGCCAGCAGGCAGCCATCCACGTGCTTGGACCACTAGCTGCGGCTCCCGCTATCCAGGAGCTATTGCAAAGAGCGCCTAATGCGAGTGTCGAGCAGCTCAATGTAATAGCAGGCATTTTGAGACAGAATCCACAGGCCGCCAATAACCTCCAACTGCTAATGGGTGCGATTTTACAAACAACAAATGGCACACAGTTGAGTTAAAAAGGCATTTGGTCGTGCTCATTGATACCCAGTTATGCTCTCTACGCAAGTTCTACCCGCAATCAGCGAGTTGGTGCTTTTTCTATCCACAAAGTCAACAGCTTGTCTCAATCCTTTAAACACGGACAACCAATGTTATTACTGAGTAGTATTTGTATTGAACATACTTCTCGATTATTTTTCTGTTTTGAGTGAAACGTTTTC